ACTTCGTAATAAATTCTGCTTATAGAAGCTTTTTACGAGATGCGAAGGTTATCTTTACTTCCTTTTATCTTACGTTTACCAAGCTCAGCAACCACGAATGACACGACGATATGTATCATTCTTCACAGTAATGTTCATGATACAGTCTTTTAATATTTATTATCTCGGAAACTCATTTTTAAAACTCGTAAGGATAAAATAGAGGAAATATGAATCAAAATAGATGAGGAAATTTATGAAAGATTATAAAACGCTACTGAAAAGTAACGATTGAAAATTTATTATTAATTAATATCATTTGATTACAGGTGACTAGAATAATTAAGTTAGATTTGAAATGAAGAGACTACTCGATTTTAAGTTACATAATTTTAATTTCTACTTTTCTAGTCCTACATATTAAACGATATATTCCATAAATTTACGACGTTCATCGCATAAAATGCAACATACGAATTAGAACGAAACAATCGAAAATTAATGTTGTGTAAAAAAAAAATATAAAAAATAAATAGAACATCAAAAAGATAATATCCGTAATAACGTACAAAATTTCCTTTATTTGTTTCATTTAAATGATTCATTTAATAATTCATTTTATTTTCAATCACAAAAACATAAATCTGCATGCAGTTCGATTATGACATAGATGAAATGCTGCATTTAACTTTATCAAACGAAATCAATGAAATTCGAGCGAAATCCGCTCTATACATTTCGTCCGCCAGAACATTAAAGGAATGCTTCGGCGAACGAAATATTCGACAAAGAGCGAAATCAGATAAAAAAGGAAGAAGGAACGACGTGGTGAATTTCCTCTCCAAGTCTCTTCTAGCTATTGACAAAGAAACAAACCGAGAGGAAAGGAAAGAATAGAAAAGGATTCGCTCTTCAATGAAACCGCAAGAACGTATCGACGCAATCGATCACTCGAACATCCTCCAGTACCATGAAACTTCGTATCACGTCGATTCACTTGATATTACGAACAATGTAATTTTCCAATATTTCATTCCTTAGACACTTGAATAAATAGTACTTTAAATATCATTTCTAGATCAGGCGATTATTCACTTTTCGACCAGGTGAAGTGAAATAATATTCTGCATTTCAATTGTATTGTCACTGTGCCTCCGATGTATTAATGCGTTTATAACTGATATAATCTTTATTGTCACTACCATGGTAAATACTCCTCGTATACTAATAAACGATTTATAACATATAACGAATGGTTTTTCGTCTGAATCAATATTAGCGAAAAGACGAATTAATTCGTCATAACACTAGTTATGAATAGTTCATCTATCTGGCTAATCAATTATTGTATTTACTTAATTAAAATTCATTACAGAATTGAATTAAATTGAATTACATGCATGTTATCTGTATTGATTAGCAATTTCATTTTGGGAACTAAATTAAAAAAAATTAAAAGTTTCTACATTCCATATTGATGTTAATCAATATTTTACAATTCCAGTTCGTCCAATATTATCCAGAATATACATTTTATTCATAATATAGAATATACATGCATGCGTGTGTGTATACGTGCGCATATCACTATAGAATTAAATCACTATCATAGATCAGCTTAAACTTAACGGGTTCAAAATACACACTGGCACAAACGACGAACCCCTGCGAATCCAACTAAGTACATACACGAATGCTACTACATTCTCCTTACTGAGAAATCCGAACAAAACCGCCCTTACATTCGACCCTGCTTAAACACAATTCTCCTTATCTCCAAATCGCATCAATCACGCGTAACCATAGAATCTCTGCCGCCCCTCGCAATCTCCGACATCCCTCTTATGTATTCGAATGCATAAAAATTCGATGAACAGTGCCGGAATCTCGATGTCCGACCACGTGACACGCCACCCTAAGAGCACGCGTAACTATACCACGAGGGGTAAGCATTGATATTTTTATGTCAATAAGGTTGGCCCGCGCATCAAAGGAAGGTCATACAGAGACGAACACGTAGCGCAGAGTGAAAACGAATAGGATAGGAGCAGAAGGTAAATAAAAGCGAAAGTGCATGTAACTGGCGTATACTTCGATTCACAACAACGAAACTGGCGTGCATTGTCGATGAAGCCAACACCTGGTCGGTTCCGGAAAGCGTACGTCGGTTGGTTTTTTATTTTCGCTGCTGTTCGTCGTTTGATAACAAAGAATCGCGTCGAACGCTCGCGGGAGGCTTGGGTGTAAAGGTTGGTTTCGAATGGGAGAAGGAATGGCGAAATGAAGAGAGAAAGAGAGAGACAGAGAAAAGGAAAAAGAGGTAGTGGTTGAGACCAGTGAAGAGGGTGACTCGAATAGGGGTGGCATATGCAGCGGCAATCATCACTTGACGGATTCAGTGCTCGCTCATTTTGCCTTTATGCACGTGCAAACGCTCGTGGAAGTTAAGTGTACACGAAAAGTGCCAATTTTCGAGGGGTGCGTGCCGCGTCCTATTACACCGGACATGGCCGATCGGAAGCCCACATCGACACCCTACCTTACAACGTTTAACGCGTCAAGTTTTTAAACTTCTTTGATAACTTTAAGCGTTTAAGTGTTTTCGTATGCATTTTGAAAATAATTGTCAGGGATTAGTTCACAATTCTAACATTTTAGGATTTTTTATTGATTGTAATTACTGAACTTCGGTACTTGTTAAAGGGAGTAGAAACTTCAATTGAATTAAATTTAATAAAGTAAAAGAAAGATGAAATTGGATTTAAATCTAATTTTGGATTATTTTGATCTGACTGATATTTGAAAACGGAGCGTTTGCGAAGATGTCATTGTTTATAAATTAAAAGAGATTACAAATATTAAATCAAACAGATACAAGGTTTAAAGAGTAAACTACATTGCCTTTAAAAAATTTTATTCCTGTAAACAATTTCTTTTACAATGATGAAAAAGGCGAATAGCGGATACCGTTAAATTATAAATATGACAAGATATATGCTGAAACTGAATGAAATTTTCAAAGGAACTGTTTGTATAGTCTCCCGTTTATAACTATATATTTAATATATACCCTTAGTATAGTCCGTATATAAAGACTCTGTCATATAAAAACTAATAAAAATTTGCAAACAAGATATACTATTCTATAAAATAAAATTATAAAAGAATGCAATGAGAACAATACAAGATCGTATGAAAATAGTAGATTCTGAAGAAATAATTAAAATAGAGATAACGACACGAATATAATTAGCTACATATAGAGACTGTTAGCACTGATTTTACTTCTTTATCGTTTACATGATTACAAGATCTGATTCAAATCTGATATACATATAATATACGTGTCTGCAGTAGTATGTACGATAGTATAGTCGATGAAAGGGGTATAAAGGGAATCGTAAATTCGATCGGGTATTAAACGGCAGCAGGATTCTGGTATCGATACCTCTTGAGCCACATACTCACGCCCACTATCCTATTTTACTATCAGAACTTACATACTATCAGAAGTTTAGAACTGTACTTGCAGAAAATCGTATGAAAATGCACAAGATTCGCCGTTATTTATTTATTATCAATAAAAACTTTCACTCTACTTTCCCAAATGCTTCGTACGCTTCAAAAGTTTTGTACAAAGTAAGTAGCAAATTTATCGTGTTTTCTAGCACTGCTTGAAATTGAAATAAAAAGGAGGTAAGGTTGATAAATTAATGAAATTTCAATGCTTTTTTTTAGAAAAAAGAGCCTATTTTTGAGAAAAGGATGTATTTTCTAGTCAGATAGTTGAATTATTATGAAATCATTCTTTAGTTTGTAACTACAAGGAGAATAAAATTCTTTAAGAATCATTATAATGATTAATATTATATTAAAATCAAAATAATGATTTTTTATTTTTATTATTTTAATAGTTAGCGGAACAATTAAATTAGTAGTGGATAATCTAACAAGCAGATCATTTTAACTGTAGATCCATATTCAGTTCAAATATGAATTTGCATGGGTATAATTAAAAAGATGGAACCTGGGTAGAGAAATGTTTGATTTATTAAATATTATAAAAGATATTATAGTTCGAATATCTTATACAATTTTACATATCATATGAAATTAAATTCATCATAAGCACATAAAAATTCGCAGTTCGATAATTACAATGGTTTTCATAAAATTTCTGTTAATATTTGCAGAATACATAAAAATTTTATAATGCGAAATTAGGAAGAGATGTTGCTTATGAGCCATTTTTTTAAAGTTTCTCCATTATTGTCTACGCGGAAAAGGAAAAATAAATTTCGTGTTGAAAATTAAAAGCGTTTATAAGGTAGATCGATAAACGTCCGAGTGTCGCTGAACGAAACCAGGCGATAGACGTTATGAAATAAAACTCAGTATAAATGTCAAATGAACTTCCTTTGAGAGAGCTAATTAAAACGCTAGGAAAAGCATCGATATTCGTTAATGAGGATTTCAATCGAAGGCCAATTAGCTAAGAACTGACGACATACAAGTATCTCGTTCATTTTGCCACTTTCGAATGACTGTTGACCTCGAAACAAACATTGTCCCGTTTCTTTCATTTTTCGTGTAAAATCACGACTTAAATAAAACCTTAATTAGTTAGTGACAGATTGGAAATGGAGCGTCGAATTCAAGGCGATCGAATATTCGATCTTCGATTGTTTTCTTCTTCGAGTCTCAAATTGGATTTAACATTAGGTTTACGGGACCCGTCAATTTGATGGATTTCAAACTTCGAAATGAAATATCTAAAAAACCATAGCATTCATTTTAGCCATTTGCATCGTAAATTAATCATTTCATCTAAAGAATTTATACACACAATTATTTTTTCCTAGGCTTTCTTATTTTTGAAATCTGTATGTAGCATACCTATCTCTACGAAACTCATCAAATTGACGGGCTAGCTGATTTCATAAACAATTTTTTTAAAGACAATGTGCAAAAATTTCAGTTATTGTAGACATTTTCTATTATTGTCTCCGCTTATTGTAAGTATTTACAATAGGATAATGGAATTTAGGCACAGTATTTTCTTATTTTGACCAATCCCCCTTTTTTAGCAATCATGAGTAAATCCAAAAGATATAATAAGATATTGAACAAAATTGTCAACATCAATGAAGATTGTTTTGAGGATACCTCCGAAGAAAGTCAGTATGAATTAGGCCAAAGCGAAGCTGACAGTGAAAGTTCTGAATACATTGAAAGTGGAGAGATAGAAGGATCTTCGGATAGCGAAGAGGAACACTTCTTGAAAGTGTGTCGTAACATGCGTATTCTTTCTAGTTCTGACTCCGAGGATGAAAAGACGAGCATTTCAAGCACATCCCAAAATGTAATAGGTGAAATTGAAATTGCAATTGACGGGACACAGTGAATAAAACTGAAAGCAGGCGGATCTAGGAGTAGGACGCCCGTTCGTATGATATTCAAGAATATCGCAGGGCCTACTGGTTATGCTAAGAGAAATATTATGTCGGGTTGTGTAACTAGTGCCTTCGAATTGATAATTGACAGACACATAATGGAACACATAAAAGATTGCACTGAAACCGAGGTGCATCGAGTTTTGAAAAAGGACTGGACAATCACAGTTGCTGAGTTGCGTAGTTTTCTAGGAATTCTATATGCCCGGGCCGCATATGAGGCGAGATCATTGAAAGCCTCCGAAAGATTACAAACAGATAAATTTGCGCTGTTATCCGAAATATGGAACAGATTTATAAATAATAGCCAGGATTGTTACAAGCCATATGAAAATATCTCAATAGATAAACAATTATTTCCAACGAAAGTCCGATGCAGGTTTACGCAATATATACCAAATAAGCCTCATAAATTTGGCGTTAAGTTTTGGTTAGCAGTTGACGTGCAAACAGAATATATTTCGAATGGTTTCCCTTATATGGGGAAAGATGAAACTCGATGCTCAAGGGGAAAAAGGACAAGATGACATTGTTTTCCTAAAATTTATATAAATCAGAAAACTGCGCGTTTACTGTGTATAAAAGTAAACCTCACGTAAAAGCCCTCCTTCCAAGCACCAAACATACAAGTATACAAGTAGAAGATAATTATAAACGTGTTCCAGAAACCATCGCTTTTTATAATAAAACAAAGTTTGATGTGGACGTCATTGATCAGATGGCAAATATAGTGTGAAAGCAGGGAGTTTCCGATGGCCCTTTCAAGCTTTTTTCAACATTTTAGACTTGGCAGCGATAAACGCGTGGATATTATGTAAAGAGTGCACCAAATCGAAAATATCCAGGAAGGAGTTCATACTTTGCCAAAGATCAGACGCTTCATTTCTGTCACCTTTAACGTCAGAAGTGCGAAAAAGTTGCCAAGTGGCCTACTGCAAAAAAATAGAAACAATAATTGTTGTATATATTGCAAAAAGGATCGTATGCGAAAAATGCATAAACAAAATTCAGTATATTTGTAAAAAATGTGCTCAATAAATATGATTACCCTACATCGTTAATATTATTGTTATCATTTCAATCATAATTTTTAAAAAAAGACATTTTACTTATTAACAATTTATTTAAACGTGAACCCTAATGTTCAATTAAGACTTAATTTGAATAAATCGATTTTTTAAAGAAAATGCGTATTTTCGTTTACCCGTCAATTTGACGGGTGCTCGTAGAAATAGGTACATAAAAAACGCCCGTAAACCTAGTGTTAAGATAGAAATATAATATTATAAATATATTCTTAACTCAGAATAATAGTAGATTGTGATACTATTCGAATTAAAATTTTAACAGGTTCGAACGAAGTTGTATTTATTAAACTGATTCGAATTTTTACAGAATTGTATACTATTGATAATACTAACCGCATAGTGTCTGCAGAAATTTCTTACCATATCGATTTTTGACTTTACATTCCAAAAGTAATTGGTAGAGATAGCATCGCTATATAATATTATTTAAAATTTTCTAAAATATTACTTCTCGGATATAAAATGAAAAATCCATCTAAATATTTGTACTTATATAAATATCATTTTAAAATACACTTAATTATTAATATCGAATACTTGATATCAACGATACTAATAAATTATTAATAATAGCCCAATATTGATCACTCCTTGTTTACCCAACATTCTTTCTCTCAATTAGCTGATATACCTGAATCACAGGGAATTTCAGAGATAAGGGTGGGTCATCGAGAGCGACGTCACCCATAAACTTCGATCTTACATGATTAATTAAGCGACGGTCGAGCGTGATTGAACAAGTGCTCGGGGTCTGACCAGGTTAAGGGGGTAGAAGGGGAGGCATTATGGAGCCGTTACAGCTCCTAGCATGAGGCAACAATGGGTCGCTTGAACAGGAGCGAGATGAAATTATTTGGTCGATGCGCAATTATTGAGAGCTGCTTTGTAACGCATGCTTGTATCCCGCAGGCGTTGCGCCCAAGTGCGACCAGCACCGCGCCACGAATATTGTTCCGGCTAAATTGCTCTGCGTACCGTCTAAATTCTATTCCGCCTAAATACGCAATCGTCCAGCACACCTCATCATGTTCCTTCTGCTTCGCTATGCGGATCTTCCAATGATAGATACTTCAGCTCTCTTTAATCTCTTTGTTGAATTTCTTCATCATATTACACGAAGGTCGTCCAGAAAGTAATATTCGTTTTGACATAGCAACGATACAGACGCATTTTAAAAAGATTTCTTTTGTCTGTAACTTTAGTATATGTATATACACATGTATCTAGATATTTTTCGTTATAATTACCCCTTCCCTCCTTCTTTGAACATTTATCGTAACGTGAGGCCAGTTCTTTATAACATATCTTCAATATGCTGCTGCTTCCGCCACGAGTTCACATCTAGTAATATTAAATTCAGGCCTTATCCCGACCGTCTTACGAATGGTTCAACCATAATCTTATTACCGTAAATGCTGTATATTGCTGTAACGACGGTGAATTCCTTTATGAACGAACGTTTTCAGCATTCAAAAAGCGTAAAAGTGCGATGGACGATATTTAGTCATCCGCGGTATTTTCAATTCGCGTCGCCATGATAAACAAATGGAACTTGGACAATGTCTATTACATAGGCATAAAATTTGGTATGATTTATGTCAATACATAAATGAAACTTTTATAAGCACATGAATGACCTTTTATAAGCACATCGTATCATTCTAAAAGGCTTCTATACGTAAATAGATATTAATACTTTCTACACAATTCTCGTAATTCAGTGAAAATCTGTATCGAGACACGATAACACAAAATCATGTAGTGAAACTATTTTATGCGAATTAATATTATGTTAACTGTCTTTTGAAACGGCGTTCTATTCTTTAACCGTGGTTGAACCAATTGACGGCTGTCTCCGGACCGACTCGGATAAAGAATAAAATGCAGTGAAATCAAATACCGTTTGCATTTCATCGATGGAAGATTCCAACTCTTTCGTCTTATCTTACATTTTTATGGTGGAAATTAAATCGAAATGTAGAAATGTTTATTAAGGTGACACAAGGAAGCCAAAATTACGTTATTATTGTTTAATAATGAACTTTCTCCAGCTTTTCCAGTAACAAGCTAATTGTATCATCGTTAAATCATTTGTGACGTATTCATTATAATTTTAAATATTGTTAATATACAAGTTTATATTAACTCTGCTAATTCAGTGTTACAATCATTTGAACTACCTCTGTTCTTCTAATCGAAACAGGGGAACGACTGATTCGTGGCCTCGATTATCAGAATCGTAACGAGAATTTACTCCTCTCGCTGACGCTTTTTCCTCGCGATCGCGCCTCTCCGCGAACGGTCGTAACAATTACATTGTCAATTATATTATAACTGTTATTGAAACGCGAAAAAATTGAAGTCAGCCCGAGTTCATTAGAGATAAAACTTTTCTGTGTAGTTTTCTTCTCTCGAATTAACTTTTTTGAATTAAAATGAATCTTCAAGGTAATAATTCTATTTGATTAAAAATTCTAAAGTTGTTAAAGTAAAGTCCATAACTTGCAACTTATACAACTTATCAACTTACCAACATTATTCATTACGCAAGAAGACCTTGTTCATTGTTACGCTCACTAAATCGCGACGAACCTCCTCTAACAACATCGTCATTCTAAATTTCGCCTTTAGTTCCACCCAAAAACAATCTACCGAATCTCAAGTATTGATGTAATACTTGTGTGTAGTAGTATGTCAAAGGTTTCGACGGTTCTGGTGATCCGTGTACAATAAAGATTCTTAGCGGTAATAAAATTTTAAGCCTGAACTCACTATCCAAATATCGGATAAGAGATTGAAGGACCAGGAGCAGCAGCGGAGGCACTTTATATCCTGACGTCGATGGTCTCCGGGAGCTCACTTTGCCTCGGTCCTTTGACCGTCAGGTTCGGTGGCACGATGTACCGGGCAAATAATTCGCCCCTCAAACGATTCCATCGATCGTTTCCATCGTCGTTCCTCTTTCGCTTCTCGCAATCTCTTTCTCTCTCTTTTTCAATCGCTTCTCACCTTCGGCCCACTTCTTTACCCCTTCTCTGCTCACCCGAAATAGCCACGTAATCGGTTCCACGGTCTCTCTTAAAGCGGCCAATAAATCAGGAAACAACGATTCGTTCGTGTATTCAATCAACAGGCCTGGAACGGCGGAGTGGTTTCGATTTTCGAAGGGTGAGATCTCAGGCCGATGGTCATTTAACGTGTGATTAGACTGGTAACCGAAATAGCAATAGGCTCTGGGGATAATTATTGTCCTTCTGTCTTTTGTTCTACGGCAAGCAATGAAATAACACAAAAATGTTACATTAACGCAGTCCAGTAATATTACTGGAAGACGTATAAGTATGACTTACGTATAGCTTTATTAAGATGTAAAAACGTATTAGAATTTGATAAATGGTACAATGAAATTACAAATATAAAATAGTACAATGAAATATAGTTTTGCCTCAAAATAAAAACTTAGTTTCTGACTCGAACTAAGCAACTCGCTATGCCCTCCTCTTTATTTGAACTCACCGACAGAGTGAGATATCCGAGAACGAGCAAAAGGTCTATGAAAGCGAGAAGCCATAAATTTTTCTGGTCAAATGAACAGTGACATCGTTTAGTAGAAGATGAATGGAATATGTGTAATGATTACTCACTCCAATATTAGTAATCTGGACACATTATATGCAGTTCGATCGCTTTATGATTTCCCGCTATCTCGAACCTCTCGGTCGTTCTCCGTATTCTTTCTTGTTCCCTACGAGAACAAAGTCAAGCTGAATAGTATATCTGTCTCGTAATAAACAACTTATCGATCTCGATCGTGTAGCTTATTTCCATGCAGAAATGTACATAATTACATGTACAATGAGAGTCGTAGATGAGTATACAATTTAAAGACACGAGATTTATTCGTAACCTCTTACACACGTATTGCATAAACTGAAGATTGATTGGAAAGATATGAAACATATAGGAATACAAATTACGATAGAAGTTCTTTTATCCGAATCCCGTTTATACGAACCAGTTTTTGTTTACTGTCAGTTGTATGCAATCGTAACAGAGCCTCTATTATTCGAAATACGCTCGAGCGTATTTTCAATTATACGAACGCGTGTTCTGAAATAGTGCGCTTCTAGCTTTAGTCCGTGTGTTTTGTCTAAACTGACATATAACTGAAGACAATTTATGTCGAAATTGTTGTTCAACCTTGGGTATCCGAACGTCAACCTCTATTATTGAAACTCGTAGCAACAGCTGGTGAGATAACAAGTGAGCCTTTATTATCCGAACTCACCTGTTATTCGAAATATTTTGCCCTTTGACCGGTTCGAATAACCAAAGTTCTACTGTAATAGCAATATGGTAAACTATAATAATAAAAGGATATAATAGATAAAGTACAGTGTAAAGTATAAGAGCAAAAAAAAAAGAGTAAAAACAGGTAAATCTTTAGCCATATAAGTCAACGTTATACGAAG